CCACACATTTTCCAATAACGACAAAACGTGGATGCAAAACAATACCAATAATTACAATAACCACCACGGTGATTACTTTTTAACAATGAGTTTAAGGATTAACACTGAAATGCAAAATATGCATGGTGTGCTGTGAAGCGTCATAAGTCCTATTGAGTATTCATCTACTGTAACTGTGTAAAGCCCTTTCGATACATGTAATTGTAAATTTGTATTCTTACATGCAGGGCTTGAAATAACGTTCCCAAAGTTCCCGATCATGGTGATCGGCAGTCGCGACTTTCCCTGCTTTTTTCAGGTTGGAAACCGAAACCCTGCTTTTCCGCCGATTATAAGCAATTCCTTGCCGATCATTGATCGGTGATCGGTTGTTATTTCAAGCTCTGTCTTAACAATTTTGAATTGATACTGATTTCAAATTATTAAAGCCATGTAATAATTATCCCATGCAACTGTTAGGAAGAGCGAAATTTTGAACGGAGGACGACAATCCTAAAGAAAAGGTGAAGTTTCTAAAGGGGGGCGAATTTCCTAAAGGGGGGCGAAATTCCTAGGATTTTCGCCCCCCCCCTGGGGGGCGATATTCCTAGGAATTTCGCCCCCCGGGGGGCGAAAATGTAGGGGGGGGGGCGAAAATATCCTGGGACACCGGTCGAGCTTGAAAAATATGCCCGGCCAAGGTGGGAATCAAAGGTCGTAGGTTCGATTCCCACCGTGGCCGGGCATATTTTTCAAGCTCGCCCGGTGTGGATATACACTCAGAGTAACGTCACAAGCATCATATTATTCACCTGAGTACACAATACCAACACAGAAAAATATCATATTACTAGATTACATTGGCATTGAAGGAACTAGATTTTGTTCCGAAATATCACTTACTCGAACCGTCCTGACCGTGTAGCTCAGTTGGCAGAGCATTGGGCTAGTATTCCAAAGGTCGTAGGTTCGATTCCCGTCGTGGCCGGGCATATTTTCCAGGCTCGCCCGGTGTGGATATACACTCAGAGTAACATCACAAGCATAATACAGCATATGCCAAATTCTATCGCTCAAAACACTTATCATGATGAGCTCTATCAACACTAAAAATTTCAGCCAGTTTGGTCAAATTGGTAAAGAATTATCTTTTCTCAAAGACGAAAAATACCACATTTCGGGAAAATGGCTATAAAGTAAAAGTTATCAAATATATATGAACTACCAACTGTTAAGATATACACTATACTCTACATTTAGACAATTAAAATTGTGCTGGGCATCCCTCATCATACAATTGTCATGTGAAGTCATTTCTTTTTCAAGATTTACTTGTTTATAATAAGAATCCTTTTAAATTTTGATTTTTCTACCATTGCGTCCAAATGCTGTTATGTCTTGCATCACCATTTGGCCTTCCCGCAGTTTGATGTTGGGTTTAAAAGATGTTCCTGAGTGTTAACAGGACATCCCAATCCACTTCTCAATTGGTAGAGCTAAATTTTCCATAATTTTCTTTGCTGAACCCACTTGCTGCTAACAAGGATGTTTAAAGATGCACACGGCAGTGACGGCACTCATTGTGCTTACCAAAGGGACATGCAGACCAACATTTTAATACCACAGTTTCTTGTATACAATCAATTGTCGATACCAAATTACATGATATGGTAAAATAAAATAACTGTAACTGTATTCTTGTCCTATTGCTCCAAGTGGTTCATTCGGTAAACATATTCGGCCCAAAATAAGCTCTCAAACTTGGTATGCCTTGACATGTGATTACAGTACCTAAAATGCAGCACAAAAACAACCTCATTAATATTAATATACCAAGAAGCATTAAAATGATAAAATTACAACAATGAAGCAAGAAATAATGTATTGATATCTGTACTAAAATTGGGTAGAGGAAATTGATCTCTTAATATCATGTTGGAAATTTGCAATAATTAACAATTATTGGATGAGGTTTTTGTGATATGCGGAATTATCAAGGTCGAGCCGGTAAGCGTTATCAGTCGAGCCGAAGGCGAGGCTGATAACGCTTACCGAGACCTTGATAATTTGCATATCGCAAAAAACGATTTCAATAATTGTTTTATTATACATTGTTTGTGTTATAGTCAAAATACAAGAACCTTCCCACTTCTGTATTTATTTGTTCTATTTTCTGTAGCGATTACCGCTTTATCGGCACATATCGCGTTAGGATCCGGTAGAATTTCGCTTTCCTTCCTTCATATAATTTGTATAGCAATGGATACACCTTTCGTTAGATTCTTTGCATAAAACTTGCGAAACTTAGATCTTATAGCGATATTTGCTGATAAGTCGGTTTTAAACCGCCGCCTAGTGTGTTCATACTATACAAATTTAAAATTACCGATTACAATCATTTGACGTACTAAAGTGAAAATTTCACAACTTTTATGCAAAGAATCTAATCATCCCAGGCTCATTTGCAGATAACTGAGTTATCTGCTAACTGATAACTGAATTTTCTGTAGGTTGCGTGATTGCGCGATTTAACCATAGAATATATAATAGACCAGAAGCCTCACTGTACACCTTTCCTTAACATTTTCGTGTCCGCGATTTTCGCCTCAGTTGCGGATCACGAATTACGCACGCTAGATGACGTGTGTGACACTTGCTGCGAACATCACGTCAGCGTTCGTCAGCGTCAATTCCTCAAATCAACGGTTTTTCTTGAAATTCGAAAAACATGCTCAGTGTACGCTGCATATTCTGCAATTATTGTGCAAATATTTTACGCTATTGCGCAAATATTTTACGCTATTTTACGTGCAAATATTTTACGCTTCCTGTCGCGATGACCCATTATTGGACCTGTGGCATTTCAAAACGGTTAAAACAGCAATCTTTATTACCTAGTGATGGCAATTGATGGGACGGACCATTTGATTTTTGATGGGGGGGGGGTAGAATCCCCAAAAAAATATCGGGCAAGCAATTCGAACTTAAAAAAAATATCGTGCAAGAATAAACGGACGAAAAAAAATATCGAGCAAGACTTTGGAGTGGTAATCCTTATTTGCCATTCGGTGCATTTCCGCGTGTAGCCCAGGCCGTATGTAGCAACCGGGGGGCTGCAGGGTCCTGGAAATGGCGTTTCAGAGACTCTAAATTTAAAAATTTCCTCGGGCCTTCGGCCCTCGCTTTCAGCCCCCCAATCAAAAATTTCTTCCCACGGCCCTGTAGCCTAAATAATGGGAGGACCAGTATAATTCCAAAAATGGTTGTTCTTTATTTCTTTACTCCGACTCCTATGATGAACATGTACGTAAAAAACTAGGAAAACTACGATTAAATCACGGCCGTAGAAACTAAAATAGGTGAAATTTTTATTCGAGGATATAAGAGCGAGAGATTGAAATTGAGTAGGAATAGCGTACAGGGGTATGCGTTTCGACCTAACAGTTTTCTTCAGCAGGGTTTTTTAAGGGGGGGGGGGGTAGATATAATTTGAAGAGGGCAAGGAAGGAGAGTTTATAGGAGTTTGGAAAATAATGTGAGACCAAGAGGAAAACGAATTATTACGAAATAACTGAAAATAACCAATTACACCGTGAAAGGATGTAACTACCATACATGTTATTAGTCAAGTTATCCTACCAAAGGTCTTGTTGTTTGCGGGACATTCCAACACTACGCACTTTATTGTTCATCGTTCGTATTGGTGAAGTGAAGCAAATTTGCAGGTCCTTCAATTAAGGGTTAACTTACTCAATGGTATAGTGAGTTTGAATGATTGTGATGGTAAGGGTGATCATGTGACTGTAGGTGATTGCATCCAAATATGGTGTTAGTGGTGTAGGAGCTTATAAGACAGGGATAGGGGCGTTTGGCAATTAGTGATACATAAGGGATAAAAATAATGATAACTCCGTGCAGGGTTTGATTTTTGTTTAAAATATATGAATATACAATAATAACTAAAACATGTACATATATAACAAAACCAAAACAGAGATTAGTAAATGAACGATACGATATGACCAATAGATAGCTATATAGCTAGTTCTGGTGTGGATTTTGTTACGTAGAGGATCCAAGTTCACATTATTTTCCGAACTCCTAAACTCTCCTTTCTTCTCCTCTACAAATTCTATATT